ATAATATTATATAGAAATATAAGGATATAAGAATATATATATAAATAGAGAAAGGAATAAAAAAGAATAGAAAGAAGAATAAGATAAATATATTATTATTACTAAGAGGGGTAAATAGGGAGTATATATATTAATTCAATAGATTAGTTATAGATTATAAATTAAAAAACTTATGTTTATTTTTTTCTGCGTAGATATTATAGGTTATAAGTGTTTAGATGATATGGAATCTTATCTTAGATGATCTGGGTAACCTCTGGGAAGGTAGCAGGTTTTATAACTTTTCTTATATAACTCTTATATTGTATATAATCATGGCCTTATCGCATGGTCCGCGTAGCATTAGCTATATGTAGATCAAATCGATTATGAATTTACTACTACTACCTCTAAATTTCCATACATCCCCATTCACATCCCAATCCCAATCCCAATCCTCACTCATCCCCATCCCCATCCTCATCCTCATCCCCACCCTCCCTTGTCTTTCCTATCTCCTATCTCCTATCTCATCTCTCCTCTCTCATTTCTATTATATACCTTCACTCATACCATACTAAAAACAGTAATATAAACCTAGACTCAGAGATCATTGACCTCACACATTATCATCAATATCCGAGAAGTGAAACTTCTGTTTTGGATGTATATATATAAATTTGTAATCTTACTTCGAATTTGAAATTTGAAATTGTATTTTGTATTTTGTATTTGGGGGTCTCATAATGGGGGAGTTTGTGATATGTGATGCGGGTATGGGATGTATGATGTGTGATATAGGATATTCGATAAAACAAACTATATAGATTTATTTTCGAGGGGCGAGTTCGTTGGTCTAGCAAGACAGTTGAAAATTTGCACGGTGCGACCTATTTGACAAATGTCTAACTTGATTTGTAATAACACCTATAATATCTGCTGTATATAGAAATTGGGACATTGGGTTGGGAAACGGGATAAAAAAACATTGCGAATCCTACAGCCCAAAAAACAATTATTTGGAGATTCCAATTTTAGTTACTAGGCCAGCCAGGAAACCCATCAACCACCATACTTTTGAACTTGCATATTTACCCGAAGGCTGTTTATTCCAGTCACAAATCCTTTGCCTTATTTACCGTTGCCAAAAGACCTCAGTTGATTCGATCTTCTCCGCTTATTAATATGCTGAGAATATACAGATTCCTCGAAGTCATCCGAGGTTTACTCTACCTCTTCGACTGCACAAAAAGTCTTTGCAAGGCCTCATCCGACTTTGAATTGCAAGAAAGAATTCATATCTTCAGTGACGTTTCAACCATCAATAGAATGTGTGGTCTTGCCTTCGGTGCATCCAGCGGAACTGCCGAGAAGATGGCATCCGGCAATACCAACGAAATTACCGACCTTGCTTGATGCTAGTGATGCGACAGCGTACTTCGCCGTTGCTATCCCTCACCAGAATTAAGATTGGTCGCATGGCCGGGGTGTATTTTGAGGAGTGATTGTGCATTATACGAATTGGGGAAAATGTCTTCTAGCTTTTGGACTCTTTTCCAGACAGAACAATGCTTATGGGACAAGCACATATCTCAAGCACAGTAAATTCAGCGAAGTCATCGGTTTGCGCGAGTTACGACGACCTGATCCACCCAGGCATACCACAGAGGTGGTTTCTCGTAAATAAATTGTGTCCTTTATAACTCGTGGTCGCGCTGTCATACTCCGAGAGAACGGTCTCTCCAATTTAGGAAACGGCCAGTAAGCATGCACTCCCCTCGTCGCAGTTTGTAAGTGCTAACAACTCTTTCAGAGCAGCATATGGAGTAGCGCCTACGTTTTTACGGCCACAGCAGCGGTAGATCTCGAAGGTGATCTTGCTAGTGTGAAAGCAATCGCTTGTCATAACTCCACAATGGTTTTCGATGAAATTAGAGCCAAGAATACCAGCGATGGACGATAGGATACCAATGCAGTCAAGCTTACGAAGCATTATTCGCACCACTCCATGAATGCCGCCTAAGTATTTCGATATGACGGTGAGGAATTCCAGCTCAGAAATGAAAGCGATAGCTTTCTAACGTGAAGGACAATAGTGGATTGAAATTGCATTGATTAGATCCTACACAAAGAACTGGCAAGGCGAGAGATCGAGGCGACACTGAGAGAATACGAAGGCAGTGTCAGTAAGAAGAACCTGGAGGAAAGCTCGCTTTGGCAGGTTTCGTGCAGGATATGATAGCAGAAATAGGACATGAAACGAGAAGTACGCAGTCACTAGGAAGCGTGCTTGTCTTTCCAAGTGTCCCAGCATAATCGACAATCATATTAATTGAATATTATCCATTGAATCTACTTCTTGGTAGTCTCCTCACGGAAATGACCTGCGATCAAGAAGGCCATTTCAAGTGCTTGGTTTTCGTTCAGTCTTGGGTCACAGAAACTGGTGTAGTTCAGCGACAAATCTTCCTCGGCAAGCCCCTCACTACCACCAGTACATTCCGTCACAGCGTCGCCAGTTAATTCAAGATGTACACCTCCAAGATAGCTTCCTTCCTCTTGATGAACAGCTAGAGTTTCCTGAAGCTCAGAAAATATATCACTGAACTGTCTCGTCTTAATGCCGGTTGAAGTAGATCTTGTATTTCCGTGCATTGGATCACATTGCCAAACGACACTGCGGGCATATTCACTATCTTCGACAGTTCGAATGTGTTTAGGAAGAAGTGTGCGAACTTTCGAGGCACCATAACGAGTGATGAGTGTTATTTTGCCAACCTCCAAAGTTGGGTTGAGCTTTCGAAGAAGCTCCAAAATATCCGAGCATGAAGTCGTAGGACCCACTTTGACACCGATAGGATTAGCTATGCCACGGAAGTACTCAATATGTGCTCCATCCACTTGTCTTGTTCGATCACCAATCCAAAGGAAGTGTGCCGATGTATTGAAGTATGCCTTTCCATCCTCACTAGGATCAACATTTTGATTGGAGTTGGCACTGGCCTTTAAGTTTTGAGAAGGGTCTTTGAGTCGTCGAGTAAGGCTCTGTTCGTACTCAAGAAGAAGACCTTCGTGACTGGTATAGAGTTCGACTCCTCGGAGTTGATCAGCAGTATCTGCCCCAATAGTACGCATGAAACGTAGGCTCTCGCTGATGGAGTCTACAATTTTCGAGTATCTCTCTTGCAACTCAGGATCCCGAACATGACCAAGGCCCCAATTCATTGGACTATGAAGGTCGGCAATACCAGATGATAGAGATGCGCGAATGTAGTTGAGAGTGGCTGCGGAGTGGAAATATGCACTGCTGCAAGTCAGTCAAGTACCGTGATATACCTCCGACGTCTGCTTACCTAACAAGTCTCTGAGGATCTAGGTCTCTCTCTTCGAGTTCGTAGCCATTCAAGATATCTCCCCTGAATGATGGGGTCTCCTTGCCATCTACCATCTCTGTGGGGCTTGATCTTGGCTTTGCATATTGCCCCGCCATTCTAGCAATTCTGACAACTTTCTTGTTGGCCCCCCAAACGAGAACCAAACTCATCTGAAGTAAAAGCTTGATCTTTGATTCAATCGCGTTCCCCTCACAATAGTCGAATAGCTCAGCACAATCACCTCCTTGAAGAAGAAAGGCCTTACCCAGAGCTACATCCCGTAAACTTGCTTTGAGCTGAATGATTTCTGTGGGAGTGACAATGGGAGGAAGGCGTTGAAGTTTGGATAATGATTTCTCTAAATTCTTGCGGTCTTCATATATTGCATCTTGCTTGATCGGCTTTGTAGTCCAAGAGCTTGGTGACCATGGCTCAACTTGGCGGGGTAGTGACTCAACAGGTCTGTCCATTGGCGCTCCATCGTAACTGATTCCCAATTCTGCCCCAGGACCAAAGGTTGGCATTTTGAACGGAATTGTCTATTATTGTAATGGTCCTAGATTGAAAAGAATGAAGGTATTCAAAGTTGTGAGAATAATGTTGGTTGTAAACTTGTAATTGAAGTGGGATTTGTGGCTTTATTATATGGCTCGAGCTTGGTTAAGTAGTATTGTATTTAGGCTTTATCGGGCTACCGTCGGGGCTACGTTTGCCGATATGAGCCTGTCAGCCCTACAGATAGATGAGATAGATTGTGGATTTGCAGCCCCAAATCAAAACTTAGTTGTCTCTCATTCGACGACTTGTGCTTGGATCCTTTTCAGACGTCACTTTGACACTCAAACTATTTCTTTCAATTTCAAAGTCCTCTTGTCATCAATATGTCCGAATCCCAACCCCCTACAGTAGTTGAAGGTGCAACCACAGGCGATGTTGATGATGAAATTCCTCAAGCAGCAAAGTCGGCAGAAGATCGCAAAGCAGCTGCTGCTCTCTCCTCTCTCGATGCTCCTCGCGAGGATGATTCTGCGGCCTCAAGAGAGGTAGATCACGAAGCTGTTCGGAAGGCTATGGATAGATTGGCAGGCAAAGGTACCACAAACGGAGCAGTTGCAAGGAAGGGAGATGAGAAAAAGGTGGTGAAGAAGACAGTGAAGGTTGAAGCAGCTGATGTTAATTTATTGGTATGTTCTTTCCTAATTTATGAAGCTTAGATATTGAGCACTGGTTCGAGTTAAACCCCCTTTGTTCAAAATGGAGTCTTTGTCATGGCCACTGTTACTCTTCAAACACCCGAGACTCAGTTGCCTTTAGCGATCCTTCTTAGCTTTTCTTTTCCCTCATTCAAATCGCTTCCTAGCTATATTTTGATGCTTGATCCTGGTGTCCGATGCTAACTAAGTTACCATTGCAGGTTGAGGAACTCGAATTGACAAAGATCAAGGCCACGGATTTATTGAAGGCTCATGACGGAGATGCTATGAAGGCATTGAAAGCATATATTACCCCTGTGGCATGATATACATGGATCAAGATATCAAATAATGGGCATTGATGGAATTGGCATAGCGATGGAGTTATAAATGTTGCTAGAGGCTGTCAGTATCTAGTCAAGATTCTGACCTCAAACCCTGGCATTTCACACATTTCTTAATGTCTATTATGTGTTCCCTTATGCCTACCTATCTATGCAGATTTGACAAATGTAGCAGTATCCCGGATGTCATTCCCGGATCATCGGTTTCCCGTACTTTGGTCGGCGATCCAGAATAGCACTACTGTATCATTGTCATGTAGTGCGAGCGAGGACAAGCTTTACCAGCTCCCCAGATTCTGATCGTTGTCAAACTCTGCCTTCCGCTGAATCGGATTGTCTTGTGTCTCGTCGATCGCGGTAATGCGGGTCAAGAGGCTTATTTCGTGATGTTATATTTCATATGAGGTATATATATGTGGCTTTGGCGCATCTACTTGATATGGCCCTTGCCTTGCAGCATCGCTCTTTCGAAAAGATGACAACAATGTCTTTTGTGTGTCAGCAATAACTTTCGCTTCAATAACCAAAGAACTCACTTGCTGCGGGCGGCTGCATATTCTCCTTACACAACTACTGCACCTTTGCAGAATTGGTCTTGATATGTTTCACGGCTGTGCCAAGCTCTAACGTATGATACATGGATACCAACCTTGCAAGAATATGCAATTTCCCGGTCAATGATCATGAAGAGGCTATAATTCGCATCTCAATTGGTGGCGCCAATCCTAGAAGAAAATCGTTGAATCCGTCAGTAATGTTATGGTAACTTTCCGAAGAACTCAAAGAACAGGAGGGGTGGCTTACAGTGGGAGAGTAGGGCTGCATACCAACATCATTAAGATTGCCTGTTGCTCAACGTTGAAGTACGATGGCAGCTTGCAGCTTCAGGTCTCGAGTCCGAGATTGTATGCTTGCCAATCCATATAGCCAAGCGCTGGAGATTCGATATATCAATCTGTAGGACAAGATCGGATAAGGTGGTGATACCCCAAATCCCCAAATTTCATCTTGTAGCTTTTTTAGATATTTGTCTCTTCTAAAGAACATCTCTCTCTCTTTCTCTCTTTTCCTTTCCTCTCTTTCATCCTTTTTTGAATGTTGGTGTTCCCCTCTCCACGAACCGACTTCATGAAGAAACCGGCTGTCAAATTTAAAGTTGGTACTAGCGTCCTTTTTTTGGATGGGAGGGAGAGGTATTCACCAGGAGGGGTAAGGTTTTCACTTCTAATTGAATAATACTCAACTTCAGATCTCTTTTACTTTCCATCTCAAAGTTATTCCTTTTCAAACCAAGAAGTTTTCTTTTCTTTCCCAAAAACCTCTTCCTTTCAAAGACAACCCTTCAACCTTCTTCAACATAACCTCTACAAGACATAAACAAACATTCATTGCAATCATCTACACTCCAAGAGAAAGATGGCGACTCTTATCTCTCGAGGAATAGTTTCGCCTTCAAATGCCGAATTGCTTCACAACACGATTGGGTTCGTGATTCCTTCATTTATTTTATTCGGATTCCGGATGTAAGTAAATATCACCTATCCCTTCCCCAAGCTACGCTTCATAGAAAGTATTTGTGTGATGGCGCAACTGATGCGTACTTTGATCAATAGTTTGAACGCAACTTGGGTGATGGCCAAGATGCGTTTCGAAGATTGGCTTATGTGTGTTGCCATGGTAAGTAATATTACTCTTTTCCAATGCGCTTTCTTATTTCCATCTGTATCTGATACTTTTATAGTGCTTCTATAGCGTTCTTCTGGTCTTGATCAACGTATCAGCTAGATATGAAACCAATCTGTTCCCACCAGAACAATTGGCTTCTATCTTGGCTGACCCCGAAGATGTTGCTTCTCGTATCTATGGCTCTATCATTGTAATCCCGCTTGAGCAATGCATGCTTGCATCTACTTGGTGTGTCAAGATTTGTATTTGGCTGTTTTTGTGGCGTCTTTGGTAAGTTTATCTTCTGCTCTACATCACACACACTTTTGAAGCTGACCTTAATCTTATTCAAGCCGCAATCTTCCAAATTTGCAAATGGCACTCAAGATACTCATGGCCTACATCATTTCCGGATATGTCATCATCATGTTTGTTTACTATGTCGGTGTCTGCCGTCCTTTCAAACAATACTGGGCAGTTCCTGTTCAAAATGAACAATGCGCAACTTATCAACATTATTCCATCGTTCAAATGGCCTTCAACATATCTTCCGATCTCGGCTTGATCATTATTCCGCTTCGAATGTTCTGGATTGCACGTTTGCCACACAGACGTAAGGCTATCTTGATGGCTGTTTTCTCTCTCGCTGTCTTTACAATCCTCGCTGCTGTTCTGAACAAGTAAGTTATCGCAACTCAGCTTCAAGTTTTTGAGCGACAATTGACCATTTCTTTAGGTACTACAATTTCGCCAGCCCAATGACAACAACTTATCAACTTTGGTACATCCGTGAGTCCTCCGTGGCCATCTGGGTTGGTAACCTTATTTGCTGTTGGCAGATAGTTCAAAAGATTTTCAAAGCTCGATCTTTTGACAACCAAAAGGCCGAGATTGAAATGAACCCAGAGATGATTGCGCGCATGCAACATCCTTCAAACTACACTGAGCATGGCAGCCCCAAGCCCAAAGACTGGATGGATCAGCTCATTGCTCGTCGCAGAGCTTTGGGGGAATTCCTCTCTGTTCATACCACTCGTCTTACCACCCGTGGCACTAGTCGTTCTGGAGCACACTTGAACTCTTCCAGTGATCAAGCTGCATTTGCCAACTCTCGTGGTGACCCAACGTACGTACTTGCATCCTTTCTATATCCACTACCTTGATCAATACTAACTTTCTCATCTTCAGCTCTATGATGACCATGGAGAAAGGTGACGAGGAGGCCATTTCGCCCACTCTCGCCTACAGAGAAAATGAGAAGGTTGTCTAATCAACTCTCCTCATTTGTTTACCCATGTCACTCTTATATCTCGACTTGATTGATCCTTTCGAACTGGTCCGCAATAGAGCTGACTCCATGGTATAACTCTTTAACGTATGATGATATTATGAGAATTCACGAGGAATGATACACGGTGGTGGTTAAAAGGAGTTTAGAAACGGATGGTGGTTGGTGGTTCATTTGATGGAACTTCAATACTGTTGTACTCGAACTACTCTTTTCTTTTATAGAAGACATTTCATTAATTTTTTCCTGTACCTTGTAACTTTAGTCTCAGAGTCATGGAGTCGAATTTTGATGGTTAGTCGATGGAAACCATTGATGTACAATATAGTCTTTTAAGACACTGTTTACAGTCTCATCTTTGCAGTGTGATATAATGTGCTAGTCGCTAGAATATTACCCTACAACAGAAGTAGAAGCAGAAGCAAAAGTAAAAGCACCTGCCAACAAGAGATGCAAGAATAAGGTATATATATATGCTGATTGAAATGACCAATGACCTCCTCGCAGCTTGCAGGCGTTTGTGCAAGATGCAGATAGTGCATACATATACCAGGGTAGGGATCAAGCATGCACGACTAACACTGCATGGCGGGGGTGCCAAGAAAAGCTTGAAGAGGACTACCTAAAATGTATTTCTCACCATCACCAAACATACTCCTTCAATCTACTCATAACTCATCTTCCAACCCACCTAATTCTGAGTTCTAACACTCCAAAATATTCATTACATTCACTTACTTTAAGTTACAACTTACAACTTACAAATCAACCCATATACACAGCGTTTAAACTCCGCATCCGTTCGCCTCGGAAATTATAAGATTACAATTATTCACCTCTTATATCCATACCCTTATATCTGATACCCGAAATTCTTGCCTCTTAACTCCTAACTCCGTACGATGCGATATGATAGGATACTATACGATAGAATATCTGTGCTGTACTCGTAGTGATTTAATTACTTGCTTGGACTTGGTGTGAATAGAGATAGATAGTTAGGTAGATCCGGATGGATGGATGGATAGATAGATGGATAGATGGATGGATAGAATTTTGTATTATTAGTGTAGTGCAGACGTGAGGGATTAGGTATGAGGGATGAGGGATGAGGGATGAGGAATGAGGGATGAGGGATGAGGAATGAGGGATGATGGATGATAGATGATAGATGAACAGTAAATTGTGACTTGTGCTTGGTTTAGTTTGGTTTGGTGAATGGGTATTCATATTTCCATGAATAAGATGGATCACTTCTGCAATTATTTGGCTGTGGGAACTTAGAAGGGAGGTAGATAGAGGTGGATATGGGGTGGATATGTTTCTTAAGGTGGTTGCTGAGGTTCATGATATCTACAGTAGATTCCTGAGGCCGGTTTCCTATCTTCTGTTTTCAATTTTCAACTTTCAATTTTCAGTCGCGGTGCTGTACGTACTTCCAATACTATTGCTAGGCTAGAAAAATAAAATTTTTGCATCTACTTTATTTCTTGATACTGAGTACAAGTAGCGATATATCTATCTATCTAGCTTGATACATGTGCTTTAGTATGCGAACCCTCGCGGGTTCTTTAAGAGTGATATTTTTGCGCTGAGTAATATTGCTATTTTTTAGCTAATGTCGAGGCGGTGTTTTGGAAATGATTTGAAGTGTGACGGAACAGACGGCTCTCTTCCGCCCACTGGCTTATACTACATACATAGCATAATACAACAGCTCTTTTGAACCTTCCTTTCACAACTTAGAATTTTAGTTCTATAGCTTTAAATCTAGATATTATATAATGCTTATTTCTAGGACTCTTTCATTCTTTTAAACCTAGCCCTTATAATTTCTAAATACCTATATATATAAACTTTCTTTTAGTATTCTATATAACG